ACCCTGAGACTCACTGTCATTCTGGCACACACAGCAAAGGGGTAGTTACCATTCCCATCCTCCCTTTTTCCTTCACAATGCCCAGCCTCCTCCAACACAGCAAACCCCAAACCCACAGGAGCACCCGCCCATGGCAGCACCAAATAGAGGATAGCAGAGCTGGCAAAGCTTGGAGGACAGCTGGGGACCCCTGACACTTGTTACTGCCCACCTCTGCCACCTCCCACCGCACAACAACTGTCCAAGAGGATGGGTGAAGGGAGGGTGTGAACTGGCATGTCTGGGTGTGCCAGGCTTCATACCATAAGGCCCAAGAACCCTCAAGACTGAAGGGACAGCACTGGAGGGACCGTCTGGCTCCTGGCCTCTTGTTGAGGGTCTTGGCTTGCTCCAGATGTGGGTGGTACCAGGCTCATGGCCACATGACCAGTCAATGCCAGAGTGAGAACCCCACTAAGCCCCTGTAATCCAGTCTAGCACTCTTGCCACTGCATCAGAATGATTATCTGAACTGCCAGGCTCCACTGAGGAGGGCAGTGTGGAGCAGCAGGGAGACCATAGAACTTGGGACTATTATAATGAATCCTGCCTCTGTTATTTATTTGCTGGGTGGCATGAGACAAGTCATGTAACTTCTCTGAGCCTCAATTTTATCATCTGTAAAATGGGTATAATAATAATACCTATCTTACTTGGTTATTGTGGGGAATCAATAAAATGACAGCTCTACAGTGGTTAGTATGTAATGAGCTCTCAGTGAATGCCAGCGGTTATTTAATACTCCTGCTTTCTCTGTGCTTGCCACTCTGTCAGATCTATGGCAAGGGTATAATAAACATTCACTGAGCCGATGTGGCAAGGATGAGGGCCATAGGGGATGGCTTCCACTTCCCAGTTTCTCTTGTTTAGCCCAAGAGGCTGAAGGAACAGCCAGTATCTCAAGGGAAAGGGCAGGTGCTGGCTTATGCCCATCTCCCTACATGAGGCATCTCCACTTGTGCCACCAGCTCTCCGAACAAGCTCAGCACAGTGCCTTGCTCAGGAAGTTCTGCTGGTTCTCTGCTTTCAGAAGCTGATGGTTGTCTGCTGTGATAGTCAGCTAGGGATGGAGTTCCCAGTGGAGGAGGGAGTGTGGTTACTCCAGCAATGGCAGAGGCCAAGCATCTATGGCATATTCACAGTCTTCCATCTGCCCCAACACTATCCCCAATCTGTGACTTAAATGGGGATCCCACAGCCTTGACCCCACTACTGAGCACATCAAATCCTTAGAGACCCTTCCCTCTTCTTCTCCCACTTAAAAATCTCTCCAACCTCATTCCCTTCACTTTCCAACATCATCAGTTGCCTCAGGATGTAGCAGAAAGCAGGTAGGTTTGGAGCTGCCCACCAGGTCACTTCTAAGCTGAAGGCAAGTTACTTGCCCTCTTTGTGTGCTTGCCTCCTTATCTATAAAACGGCCATAATTCCTATCTTCCATGACTCGTATTAGAAATACAAGTGTTGCCAGTCATGGTGGCTCACTCCCACAATCCCAGCACTTTGGGAGGGGGAGGCAGGAGGATTGCTTGAAGCTAGGAGCTCAAGACCAACCTGGTTAACACAGTAAGACCCCATCTCTACAAAATATAAAAAATAAAAGTGTAGCTGGGACTGGTGGTGCACACCTCTAGTCCCAGCTACTCAGGAGGCTAAGGCAGGAGGATCACCTGAGCCCAGGATGTCCAGGCTGCAGCAAGCTGTGATTGTGCCACTATACTCCAACCTGGGTGACAGAGCGAGACTCCGTCTCTAAATAAATAAATAAATAAATGGAAAAATAAAAAAAGAGAGAAAAAGAAATACAAGTATTGAAATAACAGGGCCTCTTCAGGGAGGCCAGTAGACACTGCCTAGAAGCAGTGATTCCCATGTTTTTATGTACGGGGACACCAGGGCTCAGAAATGGTGACATATTGGCTAAAGGTCACATGGCAAATGCACTGTCAGACCCCACGAGTCCCTGCCGACGTATCTTAGAACGTTTTGCCCCTTCAGATGAGAGTTTCCTTCTCTAGCCTACTTATTGTGTTTTCCATTTTCTCAACTGGGCTCCAACCCCACTCCCCACTCCCCATCCCCTGAAGTCTTCTCTTAAGGGGAACACACTGGGCTGAGGTTAGTGTTTGTTAAAGATAGGCATGGAAGAGCGTCCAGGGCTGATGTGGAGAGGACAGTGGGCAGTGTGGGGCTTGGGCTGTGGCAGGGTGGGCTCCGGGCAGTTCCTCCAAATCTCCCGGTCTGCCTTCGCCAGCCCTGGCTGTCTGAGAAATCTCATTTTGCTAGTGATCTGATTCATGGGCCTGGCTCCCTGGTGCTCCCTAAGCAACTCTCTGTCAATAACTATTCTTTACAAGGTTCCTCGATTCGTTTTCGGGGTTGAAGACAAATTTTTAAAGAGGAGTGCAAGGACCGAGGCCATTCCAGAGGGGCTGTTAACTTAATGTCCTGCTGCATTCCCACCAAGCTGGCTCCCGCTTGAACTCCATGAGGGTCAGGAGTTGACGTTTTTTGCAATTGCTTCTGAATTCTCCCATTTGGACAGGGGGTGAGGGATGAGGAGAGAGGGACACAAATTACAGGACAGGGCAGCAGGCAGAGCTCTGGCTCTGTTCCGAGTTTGTTGTGTGCCTTTGAGCCAACTGCTTCTCCTCTCTAGGTCCTCATCTCCCTGTTTGTGAAACCCTTGGTGCCTGCAAACAGCATTCCACTTTCCTGCTTGGAGTGGCCTGGTGTCCGAAGTTTATCTGGGAAAGAGATGTCTGCAGCCAAGCAGCTCATGTCTCCTCCTCATCGTCCCCGTGTGGGATGTACAGTTGGCGAATTCTGCAGCCGAATATCAGTTTGCTCCCAGCTCTCTGTACCTACTGCTCTGGCGCAGGGCCTCATGCTTTCTGCTGCAGCATCCTCTTAACGGGTCCCCTTTCCCCTCCATCCTTCCTTCCTTCACAAGAGCGAAACCTCAAGTCTGAGCCTGATTCCTGTCCTTGCTGGACCCATCACCCTCTCTGGCCTCCGCACCTTTGCATGTGTGTTTTCTGTGCTTCCCCTCCCACCAGGGACTCGTGTTCCAGGCATAGGGAAAGCAAGTGCAAAGTCAGGCAGCAAAACACAGGGTGTGGAGTCTGTAGCCTCTGTCCTCCTTACCGGACTGTCCCTGGCCTTGTCCTCAGCAAACTCAGCTTCGGTTGTCTTCTCCTGTCCTCCTTTGTGCCCTGTCAACCTAGGGCAAAGGTCTGTCATCATCCCAGACGACAGTGGGCAGCTGACTTGTCCATCTTCCCTATGGGTTTGGGGGTTCCTTGAGGACAGATCCAGTTTTGCTTCCCAGACTCCCCATCAGGGTCCAGGGCATAGGAGCTTAATGCATTGAGGAAACACATGGCTCCATGTTCCAAGTTTCACGCCAGCAATCTACCCCACCTGGCACACATCCCCAACCTAGTGTATTCTTCCTCGACTCACATCCCTGCCCTCCTCCCCTCTTATAAGAACTCCAAGGGAATGAGGTGATGAACCTCAAGTAAGGTGGTAGAGTGAGCAAATCCCTCAATACGGGATAATGTGAAAACCATTTAGAGTTTGCATTTGGACTTAATTTGGTAGGCAATCATTTGTCGAGCACTTGCTGATTCCAGGCACCAGGTTAAGCACAAGGGGGTTAAAAAATGACTGAGACCCCCATACCCCTCCAGGAGCATGTAGTCAGGGCAATGTTTGAATGGCAGATATCTGTTGTTCTGGGAACTCAAGGAGAGCCCCCTGCCAGGCTCCCCTGTGGTTCTGCTTTAGGCTCAGCTTTCTGTTAGCTCCTTACTTGCTGCTGAGCTGCATCCTTTCTTTGTTACCAAACGTATCTTGGGCACAGCTGGTCAGTCTCTAGTCTTCCTTTCAGACCTATGCCTTGCCTGAACATTAAGACCTGGTTGTGGCAAAGTCCATTCATTGATACCCTCTATGCGCAGCTGTCTGTACTAGGCATGCTGTCTGCGGGAGCTGTGCAGAGTGCTCTTCATACATGATCCAATTTAATCCTCACAACCACCCTGGGCTGCACCATCAGCTGAGCAGATGATTGTGGGAGGCCAGGCTTCCTTCCATAGTGAGCAACAGCATGTCTGGTCAGGTGCCAGTGTAGCCCCAGTTCTGCTGCTGGCTGCTTCTGGGACACATGCTGGTTACTGTTCCTTTCCTTTCCAAAAGTGACTGCCAGAGCCACCTGTCTATGGGCACTGGATGCTGGCCAGGTAGCCTTGGCTGAGCTCCTGCCCCACTCACGCCTGAGCTCCTGTGTCCCCTAGGTTGCTGCCTGTGCTGGGGTGTGGGCTCCCAGGGCCTCATGAGGGGCTGCATGCACACTCACGGGTGAAGTGTGGCATGAGATGCAGCTAGCCCATGGCCCACTGGTGGGGGGGGGCACCCCAACACGCATGTGCTCTCTCCTGTCTGGTTTCTAACATGTAGATCCCCAGGCTTTCTCCATCAACCCCAAGGGGGAGAGAAGGGAGGAGAGGTGGTTACAGGGAGGGCCACCTCAGAGGTGGGCAGTGAAGGAAGCTGGAGTAACTCAGGTGGGCACACCAACCCTCTCACCTCTCTCCTTATTTTTCTGTGCCCCCCAGAAGATCTTTCTCTGCAGTTCCCAGGCCTGCCCTTCCCTCCCCTGAGCCAATCAGGACAGAGCCTTAGAGGAGGTACCTCTTTATAAGGGCACATTTGTGGGTCAGCGGATTCTTCATCCCTTGACCTGGGCATCCCAAAACACCAGAGGGTCTTAAGGGACCTGCATGTTGGGGGAGGAAGAGCAGGACCACAGCCTGGTCTAGCCGAGTTTTGGTCTCATGTCATGTAGTGTGCCCACAGTGTGTGAGTGTGTGTGCGTGCATGTGTGGACTTGTTTGTGTGTGTGTGTGTGTGTGTTTGCCCATGCACACAAGGAAGATACAGAGCCAGCCACCGTGTACTGTTTGTTCATGGGAGCTGCTGCCCCCACCTCCAGTCTGACCACTTCCATTTATTTAAGAAAAATCCGACACAGTGGTGGGTAGAACCCGAGAGAAAAATGGCTGTGGGATGGGGTAGGGGCGACACTGGCTCCCTTCTGCGTTTGCCCACCCTAAAGTCCCTCACAGCATTCCCCGGTGCCCTCTACTCCCCTCCTGGGTTCCGTCTTGTGGGGGATAGGTGGCTGCCTGCCCTGTGCTGCAGAGGGAAGGCGCGGTCAGCAGGGTGAGGGGTGGCTAAGGCGTAGTAGTGTTGACCTTGCTGTAGGGGAAGGGGAAGGCAAGGAGGTCCCCAGGCCTCTGGCTCTGGGGTGTGATTTGGCTAAAGATGGATCCAGGACTCTTTCCCCTTTAGGTCCCTGCCCAAAGCCCTTGGGGCAGGGGTGGGAGTCCTGAGAACTCAGGAAGGTGCCTGGCTTGGCACCCAGACCTCTCTGTAGAGTCAGCTCCCAGGTCCTGGGAGGCACGCGAATGCCAGCAGATGCTACAGCTGTCCCCCTAGCCCCCAGATATTTCATCCACAGCAAGATCCTCGGCAGGGCAGGCAGCCGCCACCTCCCCACCCTGCAGGACAGAAATCCCTGAATATTAGTTTGAGGAAAGTCTTTGTGCAGCCTGTGACACAAGACCCCCACAGAACCCCCTGCACAGGGGGACGACAGGGGGGACGGGAGGCGGGGCCGGGACACAGCGTGGGCCCACGTGACCCCAAGCTAGACCTCCTTGCCTCACTCTTGGGGCAGGGAGTTGCTTAAGATGGGAGGAGATTTGGAAAGGGTATAACAGAGGCTGGGCTTGCTTTCCTCCTTGCGAGCCACTGGAGGAAGAGCCCTCCACCTGCAGGGGGCAGAAGAGGGTAACGGTGTGAGGCGAGGGAAGGCCCAGACACCGAGGCGGCCCGACCCGCACCGAGTCAAGCTGCAGGGGCCGGGAGTACAAAATCAATTCAGCCGCCCAGAGTCCGTGTGAACCGGGGGGTCCCGGCTGTGTCCTACCCCGAGCTGACCCCGATGGGGGAGTCCCTGCTACTCCGGTTGGCGCCTCTATGCAATCTCTTTGATTCTGCGCATGTAATTGTGCAGGTCCGGGGGTGCAGTGGGCCGCGTGGTGCCCGCCACATCCGGGCAGCCCCAACCCAGGTCCTCTTCCTCCTCCTCGTCCTCTTCGCCGGCGGGCACCGAGTCATAGGCCAGCTCTTCTGACGGCAGCGTGGTGAAGGTGGTGAACTTGACCCGCTTGCGCTTGGAGGTGGGCGAGCTGGCGGGGTCCTCGGCTTGGTCCCGGGCTGAGCCGCCCGAGGAGCCGTCGCCCCGGCCGTGCACCTGGCTCTGGACGCTGGTCTGAGAGCTGCCGCTGCTGTGGTGGTCGCCGTGGCAGCAGGCGGGCACGGTTTCCAGCGGGTTGCCTGCCGGCGGCGAGAGCTCCCCTTGCACTCGCAGCGGCTGCCCGTTGCCCAGGAACACCCAGTGGTGAGAGTGGTCCATGCTGGTCTGGCCCTCGGGCGGGATGCGCTTGTGCCGGTAGCGCAGCACGAAAACGATGCAGTTGATGAGGAAGACGAGGATGGCGAGGCAAAAGACGCCCAGCAGCGCGTACATGCCAATCTCCAGGTCGGTCAGACCCCGTGGCATCTGCAGGAAGCCGGTGGGCAGCGGCAGGAAGTCTTCTGTGGGTGGCATGACGGGGCTGGCGGTGCCTGGGCCTGGGGCCTCCGGTGCGGGTAGCGCAGAGCCTGGCGGGCCGGCTCCCCGGGCCTCGTCCTCGCCCCCGCCAGGCCCTGGTTGGCTGGGGCCCGGGTAGTCATAAGTGGGGTCCTCCTCGTCCCTCCCAAAGTGCACCCGCAGGCCCACAGGGGTCGTGGCCAGCACACTCTTGCGTCTGGTTTTCTGGCAACTCTCAGCGATGGTTAGCTCTGCGCGGAGCAGCTCCCCTGCCCCCTCGGCCTCAGCCACTACCAGAGGGAAGGCCCGGTCCTGGGTCACAGTGGCCACACGCTCATCCAGGCTGCTCACTAGCAGTCCGTAGTCTCGGGGACTGTAGAGGGAGAGTGGGGCTGTGGTGCCATCACTGTAGGAGAGCCAGAGGCTCAGTAGGGCTTCCTGGAGGAGGAGGAGAAAGAGGAGTCAGGAGTCAAAGAGCTTGTTTAGCTGGCTTCCTGCTAGATCCTGGGCTCTGTAGGGGCGGGGACCGCAGGTCTCTGGCTCCCTGCTGTATTCTCAGCACTGGAACTGTGCCTGGCCTGTGGCGGGCACTAAGAACTATTGCTCAAGTGAGAGTCCCCCTTACAGGGTGTGGGGAGGCTAAATCCCAGACCATGGCATCCAGGCTCATACCGCTCTGAGGATGCCCTTGTCCACTTCACCCGTCTCCCCTGGATAAGCGGAAGGTAAGTTTTGCCTTGGGTCTAATTCAAGTCCCTTCTGCTGCTGGAATAGCTCCGTATCTCCATGCCTGACCTTGGGTTTGCCCCCGTCAGACAACAAGCTTTTGAGAATACACACCCACTCCCCACTTCTGCCTGTTGGCTAAAACCTTCTGAGAATTGCCCTTGCTCCAGATGAGGAAGTAGGGTTCAGAGAGAAGTGATTGGCTTGGGGTGATGGTATGAGTTAGGGACAGAGGACCCCTGTGTCCTGACTCTGGGCTCAGCACTTGATGCTCACCTCCTCACTCCCCAGGACTCCCACCTGTCACCTTTCCACTTTTGTCCTGTGGCTATGCCCATGGTGTATACTTGGGGCTTCAGAGATAAGTGAGGGTACTTCCTGGGGGTGATGTGGAGGTGACAGCCCTCTGTGAATCCAGGAGGGAGACCCTCAGAGGGAACATCTCAGGTGGCAAGAGCAGCAAGCGAGACCTTGCTCTGACCTCCCATGTAGATGCTGTGGCCATGGGGTGGGCAGGTGTGCAGGGCATGAAGGGCAGAGATCCTCTGTTTCCTAAAGCCCTAATTTGGGGACTTTTGGTGCTAGGGCAAAGCAAAGTCCCCAGGTCCTCCTTCCGTACCACCAAATCCCTGGCTGGTGGGCCAAGCAGCCAGTTACCTGCTTGAGGAAGCTCAGGGTCTGCTGGGCAGCTGTGGTGGCTAGGATGGTGTGGCTGCTCCCAGGGCTGGGCCGCAGGGAGAGGGCCAGGCTGGCCACCACCTGGGCCTGAAGCTGTGTGATGCTGACCTTCTCCTCCGTCACTGTCAGCAGCGTCTCCCCAAGCACAGCCTCCGTCAGCGGAGACACCACCTGAGGCAGAGTGGGACCGGGATGGGAGAGAGCTAGGAAAGCGCAACCCCCCTGCCCAAGATCCCCAGCTAGGGAGAAATCCCAGCACTGCTGCAAGAGGGGCCTGAAGGGTGAGGCAGGCTGGGAGGCAGGACTTTGCAGCTCTGGCTCAGGTCTGCAACCAGGAACCAGTGTCCAGAGGTCATGAGAGTGTTAGGGGCTCATAGGAGTCAGGCAAGAACACAAATGAGAGAGGTGGGCCAATTCTAAGGAAAACAACAACCCACACACAGTGATAAGCAGCAATTGATGTGCAACCTCAATGTCAGAGAGACAAAAGGGAGTGGTGAGGACTGTGGAAAATGAGGGAACTCATTCTCACGCATAGGAGGCACCAATACCGGCTTCAGCTGATTGTTGCCAGATTCATTTTTTGTGAAACCAGAAATCTATATGTATTTTTTAAATGAGAAATCTCCCAATTGAAAACACGTTGGATCAGTTGTTTTACGAAGAAGATATGTCTGCAGGCAGATTCTAGCCTACAGGTCACAATAGTTTCTTAGGTAGATGATTTCTATCCAGACACCCGATTGTCAGGGTTGAGACAAGTCAGGAAAGGTCAAAGTTGAGTTCCTAGATCACCAAACGCACCTTCCTGGACTCCAGCCTGGCTGACTGTCACCTGCTCCCCCTCTGCTCTCAGGGAGGGGTCTGCTTGAGTCACCCACACTGAGGATTGATGAAGGTTGATACAGCTCGGAGTGAGAACTTTTACCAGGATGAAGCTATGAGAGCTTGACCTTGGAATTTCAGACAAGGGGCAGGCAGGGAAGAGTGTTCTGGGGGCCAGTTGGGGTTGGGAAAATCTGAGTTCTGCACCCACAGGTAAATAAGGCTCCCAACACTGCCCCTTTGTGCCGGGACAGAGCCCATACCTACCTTAAAGGGGGTGGTGCCTGGCTCCAGCCCTGCCAGTGTGCTGCTGTCCACCATGTGTGCCACTCGGGGGTCGCCCACCCGCATGAAGTCACTGACTAGGTCAGTGACCTCCACCAGCCAGTCCGGGCCTAGCATGGTGACCACCTGGTCAGTGCCCTCGGATGATGTCGTGTGGAACTGGGTGAAGACCTGCAGGGTGGCATGCTGGTACTGCAGGGTGCAGCCCCGGCTTGCACTCTGCCGCCGCTCCTCCTCTTCCTCGTCCTCGTCCTCGCTTTCCCGGACTGACCTGGGGTGGGGACATGCCATGCTGAAGGCTTCTCACCTGGACTCTGACCTGCACAGTTCACACCCCTCACCCTTGCCCTGTTGGGTCCTCCCAGCTTCCCAGAAGCTCTGCAAAAGCAAGCCTCCACTCTGGTTCATGCCTTTCATCTCTAAGTTTGGAGCCAGGAGTCCCAGTCTTTTCTCTCCTAGAAAAGTACCTTCTTGACCCTACCTCCTGTTCCTATCTGCCTCCTCTTGGCTTAAGCCAGGCCCAAGAATAGCTGGTGTCAAATCCTAACAGCAACTGCTGCCTCTTCTTCAGTACTAAGTTTGTGCCTGGCACTGTTTTAAGCTCTAACCTGGAGCAAATGTGATCCTTTTTATAGAATGCCAGAAATCTTAGCTGAATTGTGTTCTGTGGTTGTGAGGAAGCTAAGCAGAACCTGTAGGTGATGAACTCGGACATTTAACTGAGAAGATTTCCAAGCAAGGTGTGGAAATTGTGGCCTGGTTTCCTTTTGCTGCTTTTAGTCAAATGTGAGAGGAGAGAGACACATAGATAAACTGTTAAGCAAAAGGGAACCTGGACTTGATGATTTGGGAAATTCTCAGCCTGTGCACATTGCAAAAAAAAAAAAAATGCTAAAATTGAGAGGTTTACTGCCAGGAAGATGTGCTTTGGTGATAAAGCCAAGTGTTTCTCTCTGTAGCTAGTGCTTTGTTGGTGTACTGGAGGATCAAGCAACTAGAATATTCATTTACACTGAGAGTTCTTTTACCTGGGTTAATTAATTTATTCCTCACAAAAATCCTATGAGGCAGGTGTTATTGTGCCCATTTTACAGATATGGAGATGGAGGCACAGAGCGGTTACATAAGTAGCCCAAGTTTACACAGCTAGTAAATAGCAGAGGCAGGACTTAAACCAGGCTGTCTGGCTTCTGAGTCCACTGCTACTCAAAGCAGTATCGCTATCACCCAGGAGCTGGTGAGAAATGCAGAATTACAGGCTTTACCCCAGACCTGCCCAGTCAGAATCTGCATTTTACTCCGATCCCCAGGTGATTCATGTACACATTAAAGTTTGAGAGGCACTGGTCTATGCCACATTGCTCTTCCAAATCTCTCTGAGTTGAACTCAGCCCATTTCTCACTTGGCTGCCTGTTTCTCTCACCACCTGCTTCTCTCTCCAGCCCCGCCCACCTCCTGCTCTTAGCTGCCTGTCACTTTCCTCTCTTCTCTTCCCTGCTGGGCTTTTCTCTCCAGCAGCTGAGTGGGTGATTGGAATGTGGTGAGTACACACGTCTATGCCCCACATATGGGCACCCAGGTGCCTGAGCTTACAAGCCCACAAGGGAACCTGGGTATGAGTCACAGTGTGCCTGCACTCATGCACTCACTAGTGTATCCTTGGTGTGCCCAGGCTGAGGCACATGCGTACAGGTGTGTCTGCTCCATTTTGTCCGCCTGACTGCAGGCAGTCTCTTAACCTGTCTCCCCAGCCAACTCCTTTCAGTTCATTCTTTAAGACTTAGCTCAAGAGCTGTCTCTTCCAGGAAGCCTGCCTTGACTTCTCCTGGAGGAAGAAGCGGTCCTCTCCTTGTGCCACTTGATTCCCTGCACACAGGGCTTCCCATCCATCACCATGTTCTGTGGCATGCACATGCCTTCCTCCCCTGCTGGATTGAGAGACTGGCATGGTCAGGCACTGGCCACAGTCACCCCATCTCAAACACTTGCCAGTGCCTAGCTCACAGTAGCGGGTCGATGAAAGTTTGTTAACTGCACAACCAACCGACAGACTATGTATACCAAGGGCCTTATACCCATATGCAGGTCAGACTGTTGGCAGAGGTTGTATCCACCCATGAGTATCCCGAGTATCTGCCATAGGAGAGGGGCTGTACCTCCGGTCGGGGAGGATGGGTACCCTCCAGCCCTTCACTTGGCTGAGGCGGGCATCTGAGAGCTCAATGTGCAAGGGCAGCTTGGGTACCCAGACTGTCATTTCCAGGGGGGCATTGAGAACGTCGTAGCGGAAGGTGACCCTGGCGTTCATGGACCCTCGAGACTCTTTTCCGCTCACAAACACGTAGTCGCAGCTGCTGGAAACCTGGGGGAAGGGAGGAACAGTTGGCACGTCTTGCCGTACAGGTCTTCCTGTGAGGCAATGCAGGGAACTTCAGTCTGACAAGCAGGGCTGGAGGGAAAGTCCTAGGAGGCTGAAGGAGAGGCGGCCAGTGGAAGGAGGCATTGACTCCTCTAGGAGTCCCGGCTTCCATCACTGCTTTTGCTCTTTCTCGAGATCACCTCTTGGTGCCCACTGGGGAAGGCTTTTGTTCCTTAGTAAGGAGCCAACATGCAAATGCTTTTCAGGGGCTGTTCCCGATCTGCCAGAGCCACACTTTGGAGGAGGCTCCAGGGTGAGGGCCTCTCAGGGCTGGCTCCCCTCCCCTAGGAGGACTGGCGGGGCTCTGGAGCCAGGGGTCTGGCAGGTAGAGTCCTCTATGGTGCAGAAAAGGACATGGGCACTTAACTGGGCAGGGAGGACATTGAGGTGGAGGGGATGGGGATGAGGCGCAGGCCCATGTCCTCCACAGCCTCTCTGGCATGGTTGCCCCAGGAGAATGGGCAGGTAGTTAATTTCTGGTGAGGGGGGCTGCTTAACCAGGTGTGGAGATGAGGGAATGGGAGAGGAAAACTCAGGACCAGAGAACCCCAGGCATAGATGGGTGGATGGCTGCCACCAACGAATGTGGCTGTTGTAAATGCCTGCCCACCTGGATACCGACTTGCATTCCTAGAGGTTCCCTGGATGGAAACCACATGCCTGCTGAGTACATCTTGGTGGATACCTGTGCCCACTCACAGAGGTGTCACTGCCAGTACTTTAGGGCAAATGCAGATGGCTCTGTGTGTTAAATATGCCCACGCACACACCTGGCAGCCCAGAACGGATGCTGTGTGTACATGCATCTAGGTGCTCATGCTGGTGCACGTCCATGGGTACATGGTCTTGAGTTTGGGAGCAGGTCTATCATTCAGCTGGTGGGTTGATGATGCCCTGAAGGCTCTGGAAGGACCCAGGGGCATTGGGACTATGGCTTATCCATGGAGATGAGCCCCTGGGGCATGCCAAACCCTGCCAGCTCCCATCATCATCTCAGAGGGGTGGGTGGAGGGATGGGACAGCAGCCCTGCCAGAAATGCTCATTTCCCACCTCAGAAGGCAAAGAATTCCAACTGCAGACCTGTAAATTCCACTTACAATGTGGCAGACTCCATAAGACCTGAGTATATTTCATCGAGATTTGTAACCAATTTCATTTAACATCTTCTCTAATTCTCCTTGGTTCTGCTCTGGAGCTGGGGTAGGGGAGTCTGGGTGGCAGAGAAGGTGCTGGGTAAGGGCCCTTGGGAGCAGATCTGTTTCTTCCCATGCCAGTCTGCCAGCAGTGGACAGCCCCACAGACTTCTGGTGAGGCTTCTCTGAAGGGGGTGATGCAGTGGAGTGGGGGGCACCAGACCATCTGCTCTGGCCCCCTTGGAAGGCATCCTTCCTGGATGATGGATAGAAGAGGTAAGCCCCGTGCTCCCCAGACTTGGAGGGACCCAAAGGCAAAGCATAGAGAGAGAGAGCAGGAGCGAGCCCAAGTGACCAGGAGGAGGACATCTGCATTCCAACTGTCCTGCTCTCCTTCAAGCTGAATTATTTACAGGAGCAAGAACGAATTCAGTTGTCTAATCATCTGATTTTGATGCCTGCTGGAGGGTGGCATAGTGAGCGGCTGGCCCACACCACAGGTACCAGGGCTGGACATCTGCTCACACCACTGCCCACTCTACTGCCTCCTCTTCCCAACTCACTTCTGACCACCATTCAAAACCAGGGGAAGAAGCCAATCTGGAGCCCTCTTGGGGAGGTGGCAAACTGGGTCACTGAGTCAGATGAGTGTCGTGTGGGCTGGGCTGTGGAGGACCTGGGGCCAGAGCAGGTCCCTGGGGAGGAGCTCAGGGGTGGGCTGGGAGCTCACGGCTGAGAGGAGCCTTTAGGAGCTGGAGGAGCTGGAGCGTGTGTGCCGGGAGTGGGGCCCTCAGTACACAACCTTGACGCCTGGCCTTACTCACATACTTCTTGAGGCTTCTTCCTGAGTTACATTGCCTTCATCCGATCACTCGCACTCTGGGTTCAGAGCAGGTCTTTGAGGGGTTGTCTCCCTCACCCACCCCGTTGCCTTGCCAGGTGTCTGCCACACACCAAGGTTCAATAATGTCTTGCTAGATTGATTTCAAGTTGTTGACACTGCCTTTTCCCCTCTGGCCTGACAGTCTGTTTCATATTCCTATAGGAAGCCCTCCAGGACTGGCTAAAGCAGTATCCAGGGGCAGGAAGACGGAGTACCATGGGAGTCAGTAGACTTGGGAATGAACCCTTTCAGAATGGTGTGGTGAAGCTTGGGATGAAGTAAGGCCAGTGCTGTAGGAGGAAAAGGGTGGGGCAGCTGCTGCAACAGAAGGGGTCCCAGCACAGGGAGGCATGAGTTCCGTCTTAGAGGATGAATAAGAGTCAGCCACCTGGACTCTGGTCTGAGGTTCTGCTCTCCTGAAGGCCTAGGGCTTCTTCCCCAGGGGCCCCACCTCCAGGATGCCCACCTTGATGATGTCTTCATTGTCTGACTCGCATTCCACTAGGGCAGAGATGTCTAGGACGAGGCCATTCACCTCAATGGCAATGACCTTGACAGGGATGGCCACTGTCCTGCCAGTCAAAATGGCCGTGTTGATGATCTCTGTGTCCTGCAGGGAGGAGAAGCAGGGAGGGGGGCTCTGCTTGTGGTCCTCTTCTGTCCTGGGGCACACTAGCCAAGGCCCCGGCTCCTGGACACCCCCCCCTTCACCACTCCTCAGGTGCACATCCTTCCAGTGGGGACACTTGCACACGTGTGCAGGGATAGGCAACCACCTCGCCTCACGCTCCTTGACAGATGGTCTGCTCACTTGGGTTTTTGCAGGAACCTCAGGGTCCACCTCACTGTGCTGCCAGGAAACAATCCTTCCCCAGGCCCCTGCCGTCTCCTCTTAAACAGCTTCCAGGCTCCTCAGGACTCACATAGTAACGTCCAACACATGCCCCTGGCCATTCAAGCTGCCCTGGGCTGGCCCCAGACAATCATTCCAGCCCTACCACTCCATGACGCTTTTTCTAAATCTATAGTTCTTTTGAACAAACTACTCATATTCTCACTACTGTACCTTTGCCCAAGTAATGCCCTGCCTAGGACACACTGTGCATCTCTGGGAGCCCTCCCTCCCAGGTGACCTCCAAGACTCAACTGCATTGCTACCTCCTCCTGCAAACTTCCCATCAGTGGTCCCTCCATGGTGACATCTCCCACTTCTGCCCCCACGAGCATCTGCTGTCCTCATGGCCCCTCAAATATAACACACATGCACACACCTTCTCACACAGGCATACCTGGGCATGGCAGGAAGTCTCACATATACACACATGTCAATTTGTACATATACTCAGTGGTTCACATTCTTGTCACACAAATGTGCATGCATGCATAAAATCAGGCATGTTCTGGGCCGGTCACCTGTCTGCTTACCATGGCCAGGGGCAGAATGGCTTGCACATCCCGCTGAATGACCGTCAGCTCAGTAACTGCCCGCTCCAGGTCAGGCAGGGCGCTGTGGCCACGGTAGTCAATGTGCCACATGATCCTCCGCTTGACCGACTGGCTGGTGAAGTTCTCCATTTCAAAGTCCAGCTGCAGGATCTCCAAGGGGCCCTGGCCCTCCCTGCCAGGGGAGGGGAGGGAAGGAGAGCAGAGGATGAAGGGCTAGGAGTGGCCCAGGAGCTCAGAAACCCTCAATGGGGACCTCACCCCTCCCCGGGAGCTACCTGACGGGGCCCTGTCCTCCCCGGGAGCTACCTGACGGGGCCCTGTGAGCCTTCTCCAGCCCATCTGAGGTGCTCCAGCCCCAGGATGCCACTGAGGGGCCTGGACCTCAGAGACCCCAGAGGCCAAGCCCCAGCCCTCCCCAAGTCCAGCCTCTTCCTTCAAAGATTCCCCACCCCTCTCAGATGGCTGCTCTGCAAAGAGGTGGGTAGATGCACCAACTCCAGCTCACCAGGGGGGCAGGGGTGTGCCCTGAGCCCAGGTCACATCCACGGTGGCTGTTGAGTGCTTTGCCCCAGTCAGCAGCTCCGAGGTCACATGCCACTGGCCACTCCGTGACTTGGTACCTAAAAGGGTCACACCCTTCTTGGCCTTTACCCTGGGACAAAGTGGGAGGAAGAAGAGGGAGAGGGTCAGGCTACAGCCCAAAGCTGCCCACCTGGCCACCATCACTAGGCTGTACTGGGGGGAAGGGGACAGATAAGCTAAGTTACCCTGAGTCCTGGATGTTTCAGATGAATGTTCCAGATGAATTTGGAGAATCTGGTATCACACAGCTGAAAACTCTGACCCTCAGTGAAAGCTGCAATCCCTTCTACCATATCCCTGCCAAGTCGTTGCCTCATCTCTACTGGCACACCTTAGTGACAGGACTCACTACTTCTGCACACATCTCATTCCTTTTTCAGAAAGCCCATGAAAACTAGAAAGATCTTCCCTGGATGTGGTTGAGCTAAAACAGCCACAGGTTCTGCTGGGCAACAGAGAACAATTCCCCTCCATCTTAACTGTAGTAGTTCTTCAAAAAGCTGGCGAGGTGAGTAGGTGTTCTCTGAATCTTCTTTCCTTCAGTTCCTCCAATTGTTTGTTGCCATAATTCTGAATCACCTCACAGCCAGTCACGCTCTTCTGGACACTAAATGTGAAGTGTCCCGTACTAAATACAACACTTCAGCTGCACCCCAATGAACATTGGCTAAAGTGAGGTGATTGCCACCTCTCTAATTCTGCAAGCTCTACTCCTATTAATGCAGCCCAAGATCTCTGATGACTGATTTAACTTATGTTCACATTCAGGTATCAATCACTGAATCAGGCATGACTCTTTCCAACAATATTTAAACTTGAAGGTAGGACACTGAGGAGACAGGGAAATATTAGAAGTTGCAGGCTAATGGTGATGTTTCAGGTCCCATGCATAGTGTCTGGGGGTGGGGAAGCATTTTGGTGGGTGTCCTCAGAGTTACACAACATAGGTCAAACCATAGATTCCTAGTGTGAAATATTATCATGTTTTGGGGGGATGTGATACAATCGAAGGCATTTTTGAGTTTGCAAACTGTGTCCTTTTCAAGATGTAGAAGGATAGAAAGAGCTGGGAATCCTGAAAATTTTTCTCCCAACTCTAGGACTGGAGCAAATGTCCCTAAACACACACACACACACACACACACACACACACACACTCTCTCTCTCTCTCTCTCTCTCTCTCTCTCATGCTTCTGTTGGCTCGCAGCCAAGAGGCTGCTCTCTGGTCCCCATTTCTCTTCCTTGGCCTCAGTCTCCTTGTCTGTAAAATGTCTAAGGGCACTTCTAGTCCCAGTTCTATTATTCTGGACATCTATGATTGTGAAAATGATATTTCCTCTTTACCATGATGCCATTTCTATGAGATCCAGAAATAGGGGCAGGAATGTTTGTTGCCATTAGACAGGTAAGAGCACTGTGGCTCCAATAAGCGAGGTATCTTCCTGAGGTTGCTCAAGTACTAAATGACAGACCCAGGATTAGGAAACTGGACAGGGATACAGCTGGGAGGTCCCCCCTCCCACCCACCCACAAGGAGTCAGGTATGCATTTGATCTTGGAAGGGAAACCAGATCCCCACCCATCTTCCCTACTACCTGAGTGTAAAGTGCTCCACGCTGGGGCTGGAGGACGAGGAGGAATTGGGGGCCAGATAGAGGAGGATGCTGAGCACTTCCCCGGGCTTGAGGGGCCGGTCTGGCAAGCGGATCATCAGGTTGCTGTCCAGCCTGTGCTCCTGCAGGGTCCTCCTGGGGGGCGGGCGGAACAGGCTGATGCTCCCGATGCGCAGCAGGGGGTGCTGGGTAGGGCTCTCTGCTCGGGCCCCCACCCCGGGCCCGGCCCCACGGCGGGAGCCCCCGCAGCCCCCCGACGCATCAGGGGCGTGGAGCGTGTAGTAGAGCTCGGCCTGCTGGCTCTCCCCTGTCGCCTCGGGCTCCAGCCCGTCCGGGGACTTGCGGCGAGCTGTGGGCGGCGCAGCCGGGGCTGGGGGCCCGAACCAGGCCAGGGGCAGCTCGGCCCGCACGAGACAAGTGGCCAGGCCCCCGCTGAGGCGGCAGGAGCTCTTGACTTCCCGGGCATCCCGGAAGGCGTGCAGGCGGACACAGGGTAGCCGCTCGGTGACGCCGAAGTCGTCCCAGTCCCGGCCGGCCACGTAGAACAGCACTTGGGCCACGGGCTGCGAGGCGGGCACGCGCGGGCGGACAATGAAGGCCCGCACCTTCCAGTTCACCGTCAGGCGCTCGGGGATGTCCAGGGTGCTGGAAGGCTGCAGGAGCTCCCGCGCCACCACCTGGCTGGTGCTGAAGGGCCCCAGCGAGACGTTGAGGACCGGCAGCTCCTTGGTCTGGAACACCACGAAGGGCTCGGAGCGCTGCAGGGAGCTGTTGGCGACCGCGGGTGACGGGGGCCGCGCCTCCCGCAGGAAGAAGGCCAGCCGCGTGTGCGACAGGCGGTAGCTGACCGGCAGTACCGGGCTGGCCTGCGGCCCCGGCGGGCTGGGGCTGGCCGGGTGGGAGCGGCCAGAGGCTGGGGACAGACAGAGGAAAGAGGCCCAGGGTGGTCAGGAGAGGGCACGCTGGGACCCCCGGGTGCTCCCAGCCTCGTCTCGCCCACCCCACAGAGGGCTGCCCACTCTTCTAACTGGGCAGGTTCAGCCTGGCTGTCTATCTTCCGGTGGGTCCGTAGCCTGGCTCAGGCCTGGCTCCCCGAACTCCAAGCCTGGCACCCCCTTTGCTCGTATGTGAATTACCCTCTCAGCCACCGCTTCATGTATTTACCTGCGACATAGGGGTAAAGCCAACACCATCGCAAAAGCTTGTGAACCTTCAGGAGGTTCTATCCTCCGTGTCCTCATTTGTAAACCAAGTATAAAAATTGTTTCTGCCTCAAAGTGCCATTGTGAGGACTTTCAAAGTCGTGCAAATAAAGGACTGAGTGGACTCTGGTGCTGAAAAGAGTCCCTGTGATCCCTGTGTAACCTGCACTGCGCGCCGTGTGGGACAGGCGTTACTGTATTTCATCCTCAGATCAATCCTTTGAGGTACGTATTATTATGATCTCCCTCCACGCAACCAGTTTTCTATCAGTAACTTCCTTTTTAAGTGCCAATTCTAACATCTTACAGATAAATGAACTAAGGTGCAAGGCACTTAAATAATTTAACCAAGTTACATGGGCAAAGGGGCCAGCAGCGGGACTCGAACCTGGGGTCCTCTGACTCTCAAACCCAAGCTCCTTAGTATTGCACCTGCTGTCTCAGCTGGTGTAGGGTCCCCAGGGATCCAGCTGTCTCCCTTCTCCCTTTGGCCACAGACTATATAAGCAGGAAATTTTATTCTCAGTCTCGCACACCTAAACATGGGCCTCCTCCCTCCTCTTAACTCCCTCTCCCCACCTACCAAGGAGGCTGCCAACTTCTGGCAATTCCACCTTGGGCTGCCCCTTGCCCTCCCTCCGTGCTCCCATTCTGGCCTTACTCCTGTCACTATGACGACGTACCACTGGCCAGCAGGGTCTCCCCTCCTCCCGGGCATTCTCCTGCCCCACACAGCAGCCAGAGTGTTTTCTCTCCTGGACACAAATCAGACACTATTGCTCCCCTCACTCCCAGCTCAAAACTTGTTGGACACTGTCAAGGAACAGGAAGGACGCAAGTGGAGGCTTGAGGTTTGAAATCTTATTTTGGATCTCCTCAAGAACCTCCCGAGTCACATTCCTCAACTGTAAAATCAGGACAATGATAACAGTAATGCTGGTCTCGCAGGAGGCTGTGTTGTCATTTGTTTTGTTTCTGAGAATCAAATAAGAAAGCACTCTATGAATTGTGCAACACAATGCAAATGTGTATATATCAAAGAAGCTCTCCCATCTGCTTACAAAATAAAACCCAAACTCACTTTTGTACCTGAGCGTGACATTCAGGGCCCCCTACACAAAGCATCAGGATCCTTTTTCTCCTAGGACTCCTCCTCCCAATGCCCTGCTGGTGGCTTAACTGGACAACTCACTGACCTTCACACTCACGGATGCTGCCTTATCTCCCCTCCTTTGCTCATGCTGCACCCTCTGCATTAGATTCTCTCCTTTCTTATTTGCACACATCCAAATCTGAATCTTCCTCCAGGGTCTAGCTTCAATGCCACCTCCTCCGTGAAGCCCTCCAAGATGTGTCCTCAACTCCTGGGAGTTTCCTCAGAGCTTTGTCCTTCTCTGAGGGGACCTTCCATCCTGCCTTGTGTAGGAGTTGTTACCTACCTGGCCTTGCACCAAGAAAGCCTTCCACAAATCATGGCTGCTCTACACTGAGTGATCTGCAGAGACCTACGTCCCAAAGAGGAGACTCCTAGTCAGTACTAGACATTACTTGCAGTTTATGCATATTTATCATTTTACCACTGTCAATTAAACCTTGGCAGTTTCACAAACTTTCACATCCAGTTCCTTGCAAAAGCAGTGAACTAAAAATCCCCTGCTCTTGAGCCTCTGGTCTCAATATCCTTTAAAACAAAATCTGCAGTAATCTTCCTCGTTCAAAAAATAAGGCAACAGGCTTGGGGTATGACGAAGGCCATTGGGGTCAGTTGTTTTAAGAGGCGTGGCACGTGCTCTCACCACTTCTCCTGTGGCGTGCTCGGGAGGACCTGAGCAGCCCTTAGGACCAAGTGGGGAAATCATTGGCAAGAAATGCTGGGAACTGATGGTGGGGTGCAGGTGTGCAGCAGAGTCCAAATGAGGACAGGAAGTTGTTTGCAGAGATGGGGAGAGCCTTTCTGGCTGGTGCCTGAGGTCTCATAATGTGTCCCTGCAGCCTGGGGAATGCTGGCCCCGAGGCTGACTGTGGAAATGCAGGATCCACATTTGGACCCTGCTTTGGAAGCAGCAGCAAGCAGGCGAACCAACCAGCTTTGGGACTCAAGTGCAAGGCCTCTCTCTGCCACAGACTCACTGGGCAAGTTGCTTTCCACTTTGAGCCTCAGTTTCCACCTCTAAAGTTGCGGTGGTGACATCAGTCCCTCCCCCTCGCAGGCAGGGACATTGAGAGTAGCTGAAAGACCAAGAACAGGACATCCTCTGGGACCTGCAGAGCCGCTCAGGGCAGGGGCACTGCTGCATGTATGGGGAGGTACAGGGCCTTTGAGTGCTGGGGTCAAGGTGGGGCCCCACGCTCCTCCCTCTAGGCTGGGAGAAGTGCAGCTGCGGTCAGTGAGCTCTCAGTGCTCACTATCCAGGCTGCAGAGGTACAAGGTGGTGGGGGGGGACTAGCCCTGCCTTTGTTATCCATCCCCTGGAGACCCCAGAGCTGCTAAGTGGCACTTAGTCCCCTTTGCCCTCTCTTACTGTTCCAACTTCACGACTGACCATCTGGGTTCCTTGGAGGCACAGCAGAGGCAGAGACCACCAGATGGGCACTGGACTCAGAGGGGCATGAAGGAAGGGATTGGGGAAGTGTGACTGCATCCCCCACCTGAATCCCCTCACTCCACTGGGGGAGGAGCTGGTCTAGCAAAACCAGGATCCTGGATCATCCAAACCATCTGCTGTTCTTGGAATATAATGAGAAAATATTTCTACCTCAGGGCCTTTGCATTGCTGTTCCTCCTGCCTTGAATTTTCTCCCCTTGATATTCACATGTTTCTCTCCCCCTCTCTTTTTTTTTCTCTCTCTCATCAATCTTTGTTTAGGGACATCTTCCTGATCATTTATCTAAAGTAGCACTGTCTTTCCCCCATCCGTGCCGCTGATCTCTCTCTATTCCTTTTCCTATTTCATTTTCTTCATAGCACTTACCACCACTTAACTCTATATTATATGCATGTGTCTGTTTCTGCCAACTAGAAATTAAGTTCCATGGGGGCACAGACAGGGCTTTGCTTCCTGCTCTATTTTAGTGCTTACGACATGGCCTGGCACATAGCAGGCCCTCAATACATTTTTGTTGAAAGAATGAAATTCTCTGAATGAACAGCCCAGCACTGACTGGGATGCTGTGGGGGTAATGAGTTCCTTGTCAATGGGGCATCCAAGAGGAGACTGGGTGGCCAGTGAGGGGAGGGCTCCTGGCCCCAGGCCTAGGGGCTCTGGACCCTGTTAGCAACCTTGCAGATAAGAAAGCTGAGTTTCTGGAAGGGGAAGTAACCTGTATCAAGAAAACAGCTGGCATTCAGAAGAGGGAGCCAAAAAGCTGACAGTAAGGCATTGCAATTTTTATATGTATGTCACTGTGGCCCGCAGCAGCCTCTCCCATCGCCACCATGAACCACTCCATCCTGCTGGGGCCCTATAGTCTCCTCAGCGGTGGAGCAGGGTGGGTCTCTGAGACGCTAGCACTAATCTATGCTCTCCCACTCACCTATTCTGGAGCTTAAAGGATCCTGCTTGATCTCTCTGGACCTCAGTTTTCCCTGGGAGGTGGGGAAGGCGCTTGAAGCCTTCTGGTGTGGCTGGAGAGGGAGGAGGTAAGACTGGTGGAATGAATAGATACATGGTCCGTCAAGTTTTCAGAGACACTAAGTGTGTGCTTGAGTGTACACATATATGTGTGCTAACCTGCACTCTGGCCTGCCTCTCGGCACAGAGCTCTGACCGCCAGACATCATGGAGCATGGCATGGGAGGAAAAGCTACTGGAAGGTTCCTTGAAGGAAGACAGATGTGGGGTGGGGAGAAGGGAGGCTGATCAACTTAGAGACTGAGGTCAGGCCAGGACTGGAGGTGGAAGAGGGGAGAGATCGGGGTGGAAGGCACTGCGTGGACCCACCTTGGACGCACAGCACTAAGGAGTGCCCATGCCCTCCAGACTGACCTGGGAGGACACACACACACACACACACACACACACACACACACACCCGCTGGCACCTGTCTGCCCCTCACCTCCACAGCAGGCTGCCCATAACAGTTCCGTGGGCCTGGTTCTGAACCCTGGCCCCACTGTGCCCCCAGGCTGCACTGCAGCTCTGTTTTGACCCCAGTTTGCCCTGCAGACCAGTTTGTCTGCCACCTTCCTGTTGATGGCCTGAGCTCTGACTTGGTCTTCAGGCATTTGGGTCTGGCCTTGGGACCCTATCCCTTGCTGCCATCTCCTGAGAGAAGGAGCTTCTCCATGTCTTCTCTGACTTATGGTGGAGTGTTATGGGCTGAACTGTGCCCTGCCCTTGAAATCTTAACCCTCAGTATCTCAAAATATGACAGTATTTGGAGACAGGATCCTTAAAGAGGCTACTAGGGTTTAAATTAAGCTGTGAGGGTGGGTCCTCATCCAAGATGACCAGTGTCCTTATAAGAAGAGGTGAGGATGCAGACACACACAGAGCGATGTTGTGAAGACACAGGGAGAAGGCAGCCATCTATGGGCCAGGAAGACAGCCCTCACCAGAAACCAATCCTGCTGACGCCTTGACCCCAGACTTCCAGCCTCCAGAACTGTGAGAAAATAAATTTCTGTTAAGCCACCCGGCCTGTGGAATTTTGTCATGGCAGCCCTAGCAAACTGATACATGAGGATTGACTATTTCTGCCCCTCCTAG